TATATTTAACATTCACCTAGATCCACAGCTATGACCTTACGTTTCTTCTTGGTTGCCCTTGCATAACTCAGACAACCTCGGTTCAAATGTGAACCCTAAAGCATACTCTGTTCAACCCAAGGGCTCTTGTATTTGGAGACAGAGATTATATCTTCATCTTGATCCTTTTCCAGGACATTTTCAAACTGCCTTCCGAACATTCCTCCTCTTTATTCCCCACTTTCTTTCCCACCTTCTGCTACTCTTCTACTGGAACTCCTTTGCTGGTGGAGGAACAGGATAGATTTTACAGGGTAAGCTCTATTTTTTTTGCAGTATCGGTTGACCACCCTTTCTCTGAAATGCTAGAGACAAAGTATGTTTACACTGCATTAAAGTAAGTCTGGACTCTGTACATACACAAGTGAAAACCCTTGCGGTTTAGAAGTAAATCTAAACATGGGCCCTGGCATGGTAGTCTAATGGCTACAGTCCTTCCGTTGAGTGCACTGGGATCCCATTTATGTACTGGCTGCTCCACGTCCCTTCCAGCTCCCTGCTTATGGCCTGGGAAGCAGTCAAGGATGGCCTCTACACCTGCATGGGAGACATGGAAGAAGCTCCTGGCTTCAGCTCAGCTCAGTTCTAGTCATTGTGGTCACTTGGGGAGTGAATCAATGGATTGTAGCTCTTTCTGTCTCTCCTTCTTTCTGTAAGTCTATCTTTCCAGGAAAAATGAACCAATTTTTAAATCTAAACATAAAACTAGTTTATATTTCAATACACCTTCCAGATGCATCCTAAAGGTAATTTTATATGACATTTTTAGTAATGTCCATGGTTTGACTGTGATTTCTCACAATAGGTCAAATTGCAAATCTCCACTTGTGGGATAATGTCCTTGCTCAAGATGCTTTGGATGCTGGAGCACTTAGGAGTTTGGGTTTTTGGATTAGGGAAGTCCAGCATAGATAGTCATGTAATCCCTCTGCAATGTACTTTCTTCACTTAGCTTCCAAGACACAATGCTCTTGTAGGCTCTCTAACTCCTGTTTACTTATTTATTTAAAGATTTATTTATATTGGAAAAGCAGACCAGATTTATGGAGGGGAGAGACAGAAAAATCCTCTATCTGCTACTTGACTCCCCAAAAGGTCACAACAGCTTGGAGCTGAGCTGATCCAGAGCCAGCAGCCAGGGGTTTCTTCTGGGTCTCTCATACAGATGCAGGGTCTCAAGGCCTGGGGCCATCCTCTACTACTTTCGCCTACTACAAGCAGGGAGCTGGGTGGGAAGTGGAGCAGCTAGGACATTTATAGGTGCCCATATGTGATCTGGCACTTGAAGGCAGAGTATTTAGTCATTGAGCCATTGTGCCAGACCCCACTCCTGTTCAGCTTTCCCTGCTGTTCTTTTCTTCAGACCTCCAACGTGGGAGTGTGCATTTCTCTTCTGATCTACTCTCCTTTCCCCTCTGAGCTCCTTAAGTCCCATAGCTTTAGCTGCCATCCACATGCTAAGGATACTCAGATGTACATGCCCAGGCCAGCCTAATGTGCTGAACTGCATGTGTCCCTAGCCTACCATTTGCTTACCACCTCCTCTTGCAGATTTCATGGCATCTGCAACACACCCTTTCAATAGCCATGATCTGCCCATAGGCTTAGGCTGCTGCACTGATTTTTGGGAATAACTCTAGTCCTTTTAGATTTTTACCTTGGAGCCATCCTTGATGTATTCTCTCACTGCCACCCCTGGTTTCCCAGTGGTTTGTGGTATATTTTTAATTAGATCTACAATCAGAACATCCTCACTCACTGTGTGATATAATAAACCAAAGGTGATTATTCATATTTAAACTAAAATTAATCAAAAAATTTTTTTAAAAATTAAAAAGAAAGAAAAAAAAAGGAATGGTCTAAATGAGGACTCTAAGGAGAACTAGAGCAAAAATTGAATTAAAAAAATCAGTTCATTAGGCACATTGGCTGCATTTCAATGGCTTCCCAGGCCACGTGTGGCTGGTAGCTTTGGCAGTGACTGGTGCAAACATGGAACCTTTCCATTGCTGCAGGGAGCTCTACTGGGCATGGCTGCTCACTTGGCTCCTTGCAAGCAGCCTGGTCCAAGTACTGATGTCTCCCGCCTGGATGACTGTCAATAGTTTCTCAGTTCATCTTGCTTCTTCAGTCTTCACAACATAGCAGAAAGAGTGATGAGAGTGATGAGCCTTTGAAAACATCTTAGATGATGTCATATCCATACTCAAAGGTCCCCAAAGTAGCTGTGTACAACTCTTAGAACAGAAGTCCAGCCCTAAGAAGGACACACAAGATCTTAGGAGTTTCGGTTCTTTCACTCATTCTCATCTTGTTTTATCAGCCTTCTGATCTATTCTTTGGGACACAGCCCCAGCTGCTCTGGCTGCTTGCTGATCCCTGACTTTAGGTTTCTGCCTTAAATCTGCTCCACTGCAGGAATGCTCTTCCCCAGACATCTTCCTGGCGATGCCTTCTCTACCTGCAGCTTTCTGCTCAAAAGTCCCCTTCACAATGAGCCTTGCTCCATTGAAATGTCATCACCTCTCTCTCTAACCTTAGCACTCCTGTTCTCACCCAATTCTACACTATCTTTTTTGTGTTACTAGGTACTCTGGACCAGCTGTAAGGATTTGATTGTTTGTAACAGCTATTGTTGACTGTCTCACTAGTATATTTTGCCCATTTACTTGATGCTTTCAACAAGTTTTTGCTCCTTCATGTGTGCATTTCTAGAACATGAAGGGACCCTGGATATTATTTTAAATGGTAAGCTGAAGGTAGGTGAGCTGAGGCTATTTGCTGTAGATTTAGGATGAATTCAAGGGAGGAGCTTGGCCTAGCAGCTGGCCTTATCCCAGATATTTTCACTGGGTGAGCCTTTATGAAAGATACCCCCTTGGACCCAGCACAATAGTCTAGTAGCTAAATCCCCCCTTACATACATCAGGATCCCATATGGCCACTGGTTTGTATCCTGGTTGCTCTACTTCCCAGCTAGTTCCATGCTTGAGGCATGGGAAAGTAGTGAAGGATGGTTCAAAGCCTTGGGACAGGATCCTGCATCCATATGGGAGACCTGGAAGAAGCTCCTGAATCCTGGCTTTGGATAGGCCTAGCTCCATCCATTGCAGCCACTTGAGGAGTGAACCAGGAGATGGGAGGTCTTTCCCTCTGTCTCTCCTTCTCTCTATATATTTGCCCTTCTGATAAAAATAAATATATTTTTAAAAGACATCCCCTTTGAGTGTCACACCCAGTGGGACATCAACAAGCGACAGAGAGCCTATGGGACAGCAAGAACTACAATATCAAGAGTATTCACCACTTTCCTCTTGGCAAATGTTACTGACTGAATATGATTTGCCTGCACTAAAACTCACACAGAGGCGTTTGGGTGGCATCCCTTCATGGACAGATCAACAGTGGCCATGAGAGTGGAGTGCTTTGTTTGACAGTGGGTCACTAAGAAGTGCATCAGTTCTTCCACCCTTCCCTCTCTTCTGCACTTGCCTTTTCTCTTCTGCTTTTGCCTTCATCAGAAGCCAGAGATGCCAGTGCCATGCTCCGGGACTTTCAGAGCTGTGTACTCACCCCAACTCTTTCTTTGTAAACTGCCCAATCTCAGGTTTTCTGTTAGAGCAACAGGAAGCAGAGTAAGAGAGCACGATTTTGTATGAATCTTTTTTCCCACTTCCCTGATGACTGGCAAGAAACAAGGAATGAGATAGTGGTTCCAGATTAATGGGCTGTTCTTACAAATACGTCTTAATCCCCAACATAGTTTTACAAACGGAAAGGCTATGAAAATTGGAAGCTCATGGTTGCTGGATTATGTTTTTCCTGGTAATAACTTATCAGCCTTCTTTGAAAGAAAGAATATAATATTTTTATGCAATTTCCAAGTTAACATTTGTGGGAACAGTTGACAGCAAGAAAAGAATAACTCTCCACTGTATCATTAGAATATTTCTGACAACTCAAAGGGATTAGAGCAAAAGCAGGGGTTGATGCAATAGTTCAATTGGCTCATCCTCCTGTAAGCACTGTTATCCCACGTGGGCACTGGTTCATGTTCTAGCTTCTCCGCTTCCCATCCAGCTCCATGCTAACAGTCTGAGAAGGCAGTGTAAGATGGCCCAATGGCTTGGGACTCTGTATTTGTGTGGGAGGCCCAGGGAAGCCTTCTGGCTCTTAGCTCCTGACTTCAGATTAGCTCAGTTCTGGCCATTATAGCCATTTGGGTAGTAAACCAGCAGATGAGGTGTAACTAGTGGTTGGGAGGGAGGTTTCTCTGTTTTTTCCTTCTCTGTGGATCTGATTTCCAATAAAAATAAATCTTACAAAAAAAGAAAGTCTGACCCCAGTTCACAATTTCAGGTGGGAGTTTATCCACTGTCTTAAATCTGCAAGGAAGGGCCATCTGGAAAATCCAAATTTTTACATGCCCAGGGATGTTGATTTTCTACTACTCACTCTAATTCAAAGACAATGCTAGGGAGGGAACATGAGCCTTCCAAAAAGACATATTCACAATAAGACAGCAAATGGGTCCAGAAACCCCCATTATTATTTCATGAGTGCAAGGCCTGGAAAGTACCATCCATAGCTCACTGGGTGCATTCCTTACAGCAACCCCTTCACTATTGAGACAAATCAAGTCAACTCAACTGAAGGCTGTGTTTGCGATTCCATATTTGGAAACATAATCTTGATGGCATGCATTGCAATATTGGAGTTTATACAGGAAAACACACTGATGCAATCTTCTGTGTGTACTAGACAATGAGATCTCAGGAGAAACATAGAGCTAAAATAGAGAATCAGGGTAAGCTTGAGGAAGAAATACAGTGAGACATAACTAATGGCTTCTCTTAGGAGGAGTCCACAAGTGCGGTGTGGTTGTATGTTACTTTCACTGCTCTGGCTGTCTCCTTCTAACTCCAAAGCTGCTATTTCCATAGTCTGGGTCACTGTCACTGTTACTGCTGAGAGAGCACGCACACTCTGAGTACCTTGTCCTGAATGAGCTACAGGAGACTGTTCAGGCCATTCACACAAATCACAACACATTACAGTATGTAGTGAGGTTATGAAATGGTATACATCTGGTTGTCTTGGTGAGCCGAGAATTCTGCTCCCATGCTTAGCCTACCTTCCAACCTCCATGTGGGCAACTCTGGTTTACTAGTTCATTTGCTTCCCTTGGTGCTGAGGCAGTATGTTCAGTTACCTGGACTGCTGAAATGTGTCTGTAAGTGAAGCTGAGGAAGGCCTTCAGCCTGCATCCAGGCTTAGGAAGACTCCATTGCTACTTGTTTTGTATTCTGCACATTTATTTATAGGGTTTGTTTTTCTCAAGTGCCTATTATGAACTGCTGCTCTAAGCCTAACAGCTTACTTAGTTAGTGGATATCATCACTGGCTTTCAAGTACCAAACACGAACCTTGGGAACAAAAGAAAAAAATGTTTGTCTAGTATATTATAAATTTCTTCCAGCCTCCAAAAGAACAGGACCTGGGGAGTAGGTAATTGGTGACTCTACATGATTCTTTGAGCTACTGACACTTCATGTGTAAAGGGACTCCTTCTCTCACCTTGCTCATATGCATACATAGCCTGATTCCCAAGGGAAATCAGGGTTGTGGCAATAATGCCATGTTCAGAGATGCCAAGGTGGCTGAAGAAGGCTGTAATTAAAATCTGAAGTGATGTTCCATTTTGTACACATGTCACATACCTAGGACTGCAACTGCTGTGTGCTGATTGATGGTATCGGAAATTCTTTTTTACAATTGTGGATTTCCATGTGAGAAAAAAGCCCCAGCAGCAACAATATATATCGTTATGGAGTTAATTGACATAGTATTGAGTAAACAATATGTTAAAATTACCTACTCCAGACATTTGAAGCACAAATACATGGTATAATTCTCTCAAAACTGGGAGAATGTCATTTGGTTGAGAGTTACAAAAATACATTTTAGGATATGAAGGCACATCAACAAGTTTTTGGAAGGTAGAGCTGAAATGTATTTTGGGTGGGAGACAGTTTGAAATTCAATGAAGACTCATCAAAAAACAGTTCTCAGAAAATGCCTATTGCAAAAAAAAAAAAAACCCCACAGGTAAATTTCAAAGAAACTTACATTTTAGTTTTGTTGTCCACAAACATTTTGAAGTTTGTATAAGCTCCTTTGACTTTACGAACTCAAACATTCATTTCCTTTATTCCTCATTTATTCATTCACCTACTCATTCAACAGGTGCCTTTTGAGTACTAGCTCTGTGCCACACAGTTTGCTAAGACCTAGAAGTACACAGCTCATTCTTGAAGTTACCAGTCCTCTAGCACAGACTATGTCCCTCAACTATTGCCTGTGGTATCCACAGCTCCAAAAAGAATCCAGGAACACATCCTGGAATCTTCCATGTCTCTATTCCAAAAACACTAATAGTACCAGGCACTGTGCTGAGTTCCACAATGCAACACTACTTTTTGCTCTAAATTGTCCCTACCTGGTAGGCTTCTGTGGAGACCCTTATTATTCAGGGGAAGAGTCCCAGTGGATGACTTTGGTGCAAAATGGTGATGAAAGGGACTACACAGGGCTTTGTGTGATTGGCACAAGCACATATGTGATTATTTCACTCTCAAATGTATCTGTTGCCTCCACAGTTCCTCCTAAGGTCAGCACTAAATCACATTTTGAATATTCTAGGAATTACTCAAATTTCATTGTCACCGCCAAATACAACTGTTCGTTCTGACCTAGTCCCTCTATCCCCAATCTCCCAAACCTTGTGACTTCAGGTGTCTAATTTTTTTTAAAAAAAAGATTATAAAAGAAGAGATTATCATTATTTCCCAGTTCCCCAAACAAGAACAGAATCCCTTGGGGTATGACAGCAATGCTTCCCATGATGAGCAGCATTAGCATCCCTTGGGAATGTGTTGGAAAGGTTGGACTTAGTTCCACCAATGGCAAATCTGACACTGGATATAGGTGGGGCTTTAAATACCCTGCTAGGTAGAACACGAAGAACAAGTACTCATCACCAAGGTATGAAAGATTTCTCTGCAATTCCCCCCCAGCCCCCAAACCTGTTATGCACCTCAATTGTTAAAATGTCATTGAAATAGTAGCAGGAGTTTGTTAAGAACTTACATTTAATTTTAACATATTGTTTACTCAATACTATGTCAATTAACTCCATAACGATATATATTGTTGCTGCTGGGGCTTTTAATTGATCGGGATCTTGCTCTCTTGGCCATACCTTCAGACCAGGGAAGGTCTCCCCAAGAAGCGGAGGAACTTATCTGGATAATAAGATGCTGGATCTATGCTTGGTATATGCTTGCGGTGGAGGTGTCTCAACTGATCTTGAACTGAGGTCTCACAACAGGGTGGAAGAGTCCACCATGCGGGGATGGGTGGGGGGAATTCCAGTACCTATGGAACTGTATCTCATAATACAATGTAACCAATAATTAAAAAAATAAATTAAAAAACAATAAACTGAAAAACAAAACAAAACAAAACAAAAAAGAAGTGTAGTTCCTCAGCTGATCTGGATGCCTGCACAAGTCTGGGAACATTGATTCAGAAGAATGCTAACAGATTTGCATTTGACATAAAGCAAAATAGAACACAATGTTCAACTCCACTGGCCTCTCAGACCCACATTTTGTGAAGGCAGTCATTTTGAGTGCTGGGACTCAGAGGGCCAGTTCCAGTCTCAGCTCTGCAGTAATGTCACTGTGCCACCACCCTACCCTCCGGACACTCAGCACAGTCCAGCTAACTTATGAAGGCAGAGTTATCCAATACAACTTGAGACTATGAGCCTACCGGCCCATGGTCTCCTTCCCACAGCAAAGGATTCAAGGCTGTGTGTGAGAAGGGCTAACCATCCCCGAGTGCAGGCATCTCACATCTTACATTCTCTTCATGGTTGGGCAGAAACTCTTAGAGTGGTAGCAGCTCTTGATGTTGGAGGTGAGAAAGGCAGCAGATACCAGAAACAAAGCTTTCTGTTAACTGACCCACAAGTCATTCCTTCCTCACCCTTTCTCATAGTTGGGCACCACCAAAGACTATGACAGGCCATCACAGGGCCAGTGGAGAAACAGTCAACAGGTAAAAGATGGTCAATGAAGTTAGCAGGGCAGATAAGTGGGTGTGGTAACCAGTAACACCTATGAGATGAGCAAATAATGCCTTCTGAGATCCCATTACATGTCAGGAGGTCTAAGTGCATCATGAGGTTGAAGAAGAACCCATGCAAAAAACACTGAAGACACTCAGGCCCTGGGAAGCCATTTGACCACTCTAGACCTCAAAGCAGATCAGAATTTTAAATCCTTTCCCTATCTCATGAGATAAAGCACATGCTAAAGTCATTGCTGAGGTAACAAAACTGGGGCAGAGAGGGAAAACATTCTCAGTGGAGCTCTTATGGCATAGAATGGAACACATTCCATGAGGTTTGATTGTAGGGAGAGCATGTATATCCTAGGATCTGCATGCAGACTAGAAGCCTATGAAATCCATCTGAATCAAGATGCCTCAATTAGCTACCACGAATTTTTAGTAATTCATGGATAAGAATGAATGAATCTTTAGTCTTGGCGTTCATTTAATATACCAATAGTACAGTTGGCTTAACATTCAATCTTTCCAAAACATCTAGTATTTTACTTTTGCTAACTAGGAGCAAGAGGTGGTTGGCTTCCTCTCACCAGGCTCCCCCTTACCTGGGTCTCAGTGGTACTGTCTTCACTCTTCCAGCCTGGAAGTTGCTCTGTAGCCATGGAGTCGTTGGCATATTCAAATGATGAGCAGGTCTGTGGCCCTGGCTTGGCTTCACTCTGCTTTTGTGAATCAAGCTTTCCTAAGTGAGGAAATGCACGAGATGTCACAAACCAGCTTTCATGAGCTTTCAATAACATTAAGGACGGAAGGGGATGGATATTCAGAAATAATAAAAGTAGTCTGAATATTTCCAAAGCAAGGGTTTCTGCCTTTGTGTCCCCTAAAAAGCTGAGCTAGCTACGTATCTACAGATGACGTCCACTTCAGAGACCCCTAAGGCATACTCTCTTGGGGTCACATCCCCACAAAATGGCCAAAGATTTTTCAAGCCAGAAAGGATTTAGCAGTCAAACATCTGGTAAATATTGAGGCTATTGCTCAGGTAATGGTGTATATATATACACACATGCATATATATATATATATATGTATATATATATATATATATATCAGATAACTGACAGGTTTCTGATTCTCTGAATAAATAAAATAAATAAATAAAATAAATAAATAAAGGATTTGAATTTGCAACTTGCCCAAAATATTTGAGCAGGGAACCCTCATTTTCCTAGAACACCTATTAAGGTCATTTTGAATAACTAACTCCTGGGAGAATGTGCTTAGGGATCCTTCCAGGGCAGTACTTGGCAAGCTTTATTGTGTCATGCACACACATCAGCTGAGTGTTTATTAAGTTGTAGAAGCTAATATGGTAGCAGGTGTCATACGGACTCTAAGTCCCTATATGTCTAACAAGCTCCCAGATTACACTGGACCGTGAACCATGCTTTGAGGTGCAAGGAAAATTATTAGAGGATTATTCAAGAAAGTTTCCCCATTACACTTATTGGTAGATTAATCTGCAGTGTGCATTTCTCTGTTGTGCCAGGAAGGAGGATTGCTGATAAAATCCTTTGGCCTAAATGATTATCAATAGAACATACTGTGACAGCTTCTCTACATTACTCTGCTTGTGAACCAAAACTAAGTCACTGCATTTTTTTAAGCACCATGAAATATTTACAGTTATCTCCATATTTGACATGGGGATAAGAGAAATAAAGCAGTTTAATGTGTACATTTCTTAAGAAGTGACTGCTCTAAAGCAGGTGTAACCCTGGCCTTTTACTCCAGCTTGTTCTCTGTTCTTTAACTTAGATGAACACATAGGGAGAGGAGGAATCCTGGAGAGCTGACCCTACCTCTGGACCACACGTTGTTGGGTGGAGAGGAAACCCCAAGATGGGTGAAAGAAGAGGGTCTTGCTGTGTGCCCCCATCATTCTCTATCCTGCTTTGCCTTTTAAAAATTCTTCATGACAATTTAATTAAGACCCAGCATCTAGAAGCCAGGTGCAGTGAATACTAGCAGCAAGATCAGAACAATCTCCTTCCTCTTCCCTTCTTATAAAGCAATTCAAGGCTTGTGGTTTCTATTCAATTTGTTATAATGACAGTGTTTAATCACGGAGTCTACTCAGCAGCCCGCTGCTGAATTGAGGTCATACATGTGACTATTCAGGCATAGAGCACATAATCTATAACTAAGATTTTGCCCCTGAATCTCTGGAGGCTGTGCCATTAATTAACAGTGCATTTATTTAAAAAATAATATGCATTATAGCTCTTAAAAATGTAGCCTTGGCTTAGAATGAGCAGAAGTTTGTAATGAAACATTGCTGGCAGCCGCTATTACTATATGCAGAAAGAACTCCGCTATGGGAATAGCCCAATCACATTTATTCAAAGATGCTTAATTAAAAATCTCCTTTTCTAATTTCTTGGAAGCCTATAGTACATTCTCCACTTGCAACTCATTCTAATCATATAATCATAAATAAAAGTGTTATCTAGAGTTCTAGTTCATAGAACTAGTTATGCATGTCACAAAAGCATAAGATACACAAGTTAAAATTACTTAGCATCATCTTGGGCTGCAATAAATATTTTCAATTTAGAGGGAACAATGAAAAACATTGACCCTTAGCCCGGGCCTGTCTCTAATCATGAAATCTTATTTCAAATGACTAAGAATAGTACTTTTCCATGAAAAGGCTCATTCTATTCTACTCCATTATTGCTCGATCTACTGACTATATATCACAAGTAAGTCTTTTGTAGTTCAAAATATAAATATATTTGGAGAGGACAGGGAATATGTTCAAAGTCGTATGCTTCTGGTTAGAGGGCAGACTGCTTCAGCTAAATTTATGTCTTGGGCTTTAATTGATCTATATTCAATAAGACCCTCTTAAACCATCTTAAACTGTGTAAGAACAAGTTCCATAAATATATGCTATATGAGTTTTTTTCTTCATCAATTTATATATCCATTTAAAGGGTACTTACATGATATTTTCTTTAACATGTGTGCAATGCTTAACGTAATACTACAAACTGATAAGAGCTCACCATATTGTTTTACGTTTTTCGTGGAGGTCATGTGGGGGTTTTCACAACCAAGCATTTCCACCGGGCAGGGGTCACTGAGTTACTTAGCTCCTGTTGCACACTTTTCCATGTCTGTCAGCCAGTGCTTTATTACCAGTAGTACAATCATCTTGTTGGCAAGGCAATGGGCATCTTACCTGAGGAGGCTGGTTTAGGGAGGCAGCTGTGAAGAGGTTGTGCCCCTCTGGCCAGCATGATGGGGTCGGATGTGGAATGAGCTATGGCACTCTCTGCAGAGAGCTGGCTCTGTGTGGAGGAAGGCACTTGTCGTTCTAGGGTCTGGACTCTGATGGAACATGCTGCAGGCGGGGAGGGCTGTAGAGACAGCAGGGGCTCGGTGTCCTCTGCAGAGTCTGGCTGGCACAGGTACCGTCCCATCGAGCGATTTCCTGAGTCTGGGAGAGGGAAGGTCCCGATCCCACTGTCCAGTGTCCTCATCTGGCAGTTTGATTCTGAGACAGAGTGACAGAAGATTAGAGAAGGATTGTATCAAAGGATAAAAAGATCATAGGGAAAGGAGACACCTAGGACATGATAAGAAAAATAATATTTAGAAATAGTAATAGAGGCATAGTTATCCAGTGAAGTGCACCACAAAATGGGCATTAAGTTGAACATGAAAGTATTTCCCTCACATAATGTAGGATAAGAAAGAGAGTCCACCATAAATAGCAAGAGTAACAGGCACATATTCCCTGGGTAGTTCTCCAGAGATATAACAGAAAAAGAACCATCATTAGCATCATTAGAGACCTACAATTGTTTTTCATCATCCTTATTTTAGCCTGGGAACCATGAAATTTCAACTCAATGAATTTATTAACTGAAATACAATGAATAATGAGTACACATAACACACTAAAGTGATGTTCTAACAAAGGTAATTGCATATGAGCATCTCTTGCATGAATTATCGCCCTTTCAGCAGTTGACTAAACCTCTGACCTTTCAATTTGACTGGGAAGATAAGTAATTCACAACTGAAAGGGTCACCCCAAAGGGTATGTTACCCACTGTAACATCACTTCTGTGAGCTTCATCTGACTCAAGCACCACTTGATGTATTATTAAGACGACTAAGCAGCCACTTCATGTCTTTCACCCTCACTTTATGCAATGATGAAACTCAGTCAGCTTCCTATTTTTGTCACATCTTGGGATCCCATTATTTTTCACAATAAACTAAGGTAATTTCAGCATGTATGTCACATTTCCTGTTAATTTTGCTCCATGTTCAGGAAATTTTATTATAGACACAATCTCTGGAACATTTTATATATTTAATTTCTAAAATGGTGCTGTGATTTATCCTAGCCAAGTGAGACAGCTTTCAAGACCTTCCGATTATCCACAGATCTCATGATCATGAGAGAACCTTGAAAACCGCTTCACATCTTCTAAGTGTAGCCCCGGTAATACCTATGACTTATAACTCTGTTAGGTATGATGGGGAACATAACAGACTGTGATGTAATCCTTGTATTCAAAGCTCAACAGTTACCTCTTAAGGGCTTTATTGAACAGTGGCTTGTGCTACAGTTGCTGGCAACAAGTAATAATGTGAAACCCTGGCCAAAACTTAAACTTTTCAGGGTCTTAGTTTCCCTGAATTAAAATTTGCTCAGAATGGTATCTGGAATATCATATTCACTACATATTAGTAGCTATTGGTTAGGTAAGTAACTTATCCCTAAATACTTTTGTATCCACTCTCATTTAATAGTCAAAAGTTAGCATCTCATGTCAGAATCTGCCATTCTCTACTCCTTCCTCCAAACCTCTTCACTGTGATAACATTGTAATAATACTGATGCATGGTAAAAATAAAGAGGTAGATGTAGTGCAGATTTGGCTTTTCTAGAGGTCATTAGGCTCAGTGCTTGGTTCTAGAAATACTTTGAAGATGGACACTTCCATTGAACAAGAGGCCTTAACCTCCACAGTAGAGAGACAGATATCATTCTATATAGTACCATCTAGCCATCGCATGTGGCATTGGCTCTGAGCTTGGGTGTTTAAATGCAGGAGCCTACAGCTTAGTGAGTCAACAGAACCATGGCCTGAGAGATTTTTTTTTCCCTCTCATTTAAAAATGCTTCTTTTCATGTACTTGGAAAGGAAGGAGAGGGAGAAGGAGTGGAAATGAGGATCTTCCATCTGTAGACTAACTCTTTAAAAGCCTATAACACCCAGAACCAGGCCAAGCACAAGCCAGGAGAACTGAAGTCTTCCATATGCTTTCCAGCAGCCAAGGCACCTGAGCCATCATCTGTTGCCTCCTAGGATGCATTGGCAGGAAACTGGATCAGAAGGCAGAATAATTAGGATTTAAACCAACACTGGAATGCAGGCATCTTAAATGGTGGCTTTATCCCAGTGTCACAACACCTGCCCCTAAATTAACTGGTAGCCCCCATTCCTTTTAGGACTCCTACTTAGCCATTTTCACTCTCAATCTCTATTCATTTTCTCAGTTAAGAAGACTGACTTAATTCTTGTAGAATGTACTTTCTGAGAAACATCAGCTGTCTGAATAGGGAGGTACAGTCAGAAGCGTTTATTTAAAAGTATTCTTATTATTCCAAATTCTATGTGTCCTTAATCTTCACATTGATACACGACACTCTTCAAGATTAGTACATCTTATGCGTTATATTGGGCCTATTCTGAAGTCTATAATATTTAGGACTCACACTGAAGCAGATCTTCATGAGAACTGATCCAATCTTTGTGGATAGGAATTTAAGATTCATGGAATGTAACATCTGATATATGTTACAGTCTGTGTACCTCAGGACACTGACTCTAATGATTCACAGCCAGCATGTTCTGAGCCACCAATTCCCTAAAAGGGAAAGGAACATCTTTTCCTTTCATTAAGACAGATCATCAGCAGTTCGTCTGTTTATTGTAACTACCAAGAGTTCACTGCTTTTGTTGTATATCTCTTCGTCTTCACAACTCTCTAAGGTAACAACCATTATCACCTCTTAAAAATAAGGGATCAGGACTTAGGAGGTTAAGTAATGTGTCTTTGGCCATATACTATAAAATAAAGAGGCTGGAGCAGAATCTAGGCTTGCCTGACTGTAAAGACAATTTCTTAACTACCAATCTGCACTCATTCTCCCCAAGAGGACATGTAAATTCAAGGGACAGCAACTTGATTCACAGCCATTGAGGCAATGATGTGAGCAGCAGTCTTACACTGCGGTCTCCTGTTGCAAGGAATGCCATCGCATTTCTCCTCTGGAACTGGCACTCTCTGGAGTTCTAGTTTGGTTTCTAGGCTCTCATTATGAGACTGGAATCTTCTGTTGAAATTCAAAGCATTCATGTGGGCATCTATCCCAACATCTCCTGTGTCCCAAAGCAGGCTGTCTACTTCCCATCATCTATAAAGTTCATGAGACCAACAACTGCCTAGAAACTCTTTCCTCTCCTGAAGTTTACTGTTTCTCCCAGATTATTAATAAGCACTGCCACCAATGGCCACATTTTTTTCTGATTTCTTTTTCTTCCCTTTACAGCTTTATCTGGTTTGGAGAGTGCTTAATCCAGTCCCTTCAAATGAGAATACTAAAGGTAAAGTAAGAGTCTAGGCTGCCTTTTTAGTGGTTATTTGGGGATAAGCTTCTAAGGCAAAGCAAAGTCTGCCTGGCCCATCACACAAACCGTGGGGCAGTGTTAGGATGCAGGACAGAAAGAAGAAGTGACTTAGGTAGGATCAGCTGAAAAACTGGTGAAAGAACTCTAAATCTGGCTGCAGTGAGGACACCAGCATTTCCTGGTCTCTGTTCCTTTCAGTTTCTTTCTTGTCAATGCGTAAGAGTCCCACACCAGAATCTATAAAGCTGGACCTTACAAATTCTGGGCTTTCTGATTCTCTGAGAACTGTGTGCTCCGATATTAATTTCAGAAACCATTTGCTACCAAGTCCATTTTTTATTTCTAAAATTTCCAGATGCCAAATGTAGTGAACGTGACTGACTTATTTGAAAGTTCCTATGTAATGAGGTGTGGACATTCAGGGGCTCTGGCATGCCACGTTTTACCCTCAAGCAAATTTCTGCAGAAGGCAAACGCCTTAGGGAACCAGAGTTTATATGGAAAATGCTGACACTGGTTTTATGGAGTTTCTTTAAAGCACTATTAGTTTCTTGCAGTTCATAAAAAATACTGTAACCTGAAAGTGTGTTAGATACTGTACTTCCAAAACCAGTTTTTTCTCCTCAGAGAATCATAAGAACTCACAAAAATAATTAAATGGTTATAGGAAGAAGAAAATTGAAAGGAGCAAGCCTGCCTTGCATCTTCAATGACTTGACTTGGTCTAATTTTGAGCAAGCATTAGTTCACATTTGAGGCTGTGGCTGCTGCTGCCAACAGGGCCTTATAAACGAGTGGAAGGACTGCGTTATGGGACAGACTTGTGAGCGCCATTACTTTGAAGGTTGCTAGTTATACAGCTGACCCCGGTCAGCCTTCTCATCTATTCTCATTACCCCATTGCCTTCACCTTACATGCTTCTCATGGTAAATTCTCATGCTTATCACCAGCAACAAGCCTCAGGCATTTCAGGAATGACGTGGAGTACTGTGCCCCAGCCATTCGGAAGTGAGGACACACATAGAAAACACATGGCTAATGGTGAGGAACAGAAGAAGCTCCCAGTGCCTCTGGTGACCTGGGGGCTGAGTGTACATTACACCAGCACACCTCTGATCCTTTAAGGAAACAGCAATAATGGAATTGGAACTCTTTTCCATGTAGAGTAGACTCAAGATTTTTTTCCTGACACCTTTACTCCATTATGCTGAGTATATTTGTTATGTAAGGAGATGTGTTTTAAGTCATTAGCAACAGATATAGGACTTTCTGTAAGGTTTCCTTTTTTGAGGAAGAACATGGAGACATCTTGGATTAAGGAATATTCTCAAGCATTAGGCTTCCATAGGAATGGGGTTAATGTCTAAGCTGCTGTGTCTAAGAAGGAAGTGAGCTGCTTATTGGTTAGGAGCTAGCATTGGTGATGCTCTGTGTGGGATGTTGATTTAGAATAAATTTTGGAGTAATATTTCAAATGGCTAGCTTAGGGTGTGTGATATAAAATCCCCACTCATCTTTCCAATGAGTGTGACATTGTTGAGTTTCTCATTTCATAACCATAACACATTACCTTCATGAAAGAAGCATGAAAGCAGGTGACAGACCTAACACAATGCTTCCAATAGGCATTTTTGAAAACATTTTTCAAAATAAGTGTTATTATACTGTAAGTATTCTTGATCTAGAACTGGATTTTATTAATCTCTGTTTTCCACTTTAAGCCCAGCCTGATGCCTATCACTGCCCTGACTCTGTAGCATGGTAATTATATGCAACAGCCCAAGGGAGTCTCTCATTCACACTTTATCACCAATATTTAGCACATCACCTGGCACAGTCAGC